CAAAACTGAAATTCTGTACTCATTAAGCAGTAACTGCCCACTCCCCCACTCCCAACCCCTGGTGATCACCATTCTACTTTCTGTCTCTATGGATCTGACTACCTAGGAATCTCATGTAAGTGGAATCACATAGCATTTGTCCTTTTGCGACCATCTTACTTCACCTAGCAAAATGTCCTCAAGGTTCACCCATGTCGTAGCATGTGTAGGATTTCCCTTCCTTTTCAAGGCTAAATAATATTCCATTGTAGGGACAGGCCACACCTTATTTAACCGATGCACCCCCTGATGGACACTTAGGTTGCTCTCACCGTATAGCTATCGCGAGTCATGCTGCTGTGAACGCGGGTGTGTAGGTAGCCGTTTGAGTCCCTGCTTTCTATTCTTTTGTGTGTATGCCCAGAGGTGGAATTGCTGGATCATAAGGTAATTCCATTTTTTAATTTCTTGAGGAATCATCATACCTGTTTCTTGTAGTGACTGTGGGCTCCCTGCCCATCCACATTCCCTCCAAACCCAGCTGTGACGGCGTCCCTGTCTGTGAGCTACAGGGAGGCACTGCAGACGGTGCGCTGGACTCCGCACTCTCTGGTCCCATTGGGCTCCATGCCCCATTGCTGGGCAAAAGGCAGGGGGAATGCTTTCCTCTCTCTGCCTAAATTAATTAGACCCTCCCCCTCTCTCAAAGAGATACTTATGTGCTAAGATAATCTGATAAATGTCAAACCTGATTCTATCATCCTAGGAAGCTTCAAATCAAAAACAAGTCTGCTCTAATAAACCATAGAATAAAGGATGGCAAACCCTCCTTATCCATTCTAATCAAAAGTGACAGCCACCATTTATTGAGCATTTGACCACATGCCAGGCAGGGAGCTAGGACTTCACATACGTTATCACACTCAATCTTTACCACAGTGCATTGCAGATAAGGAGCCGGTTGTAGCCAGGTTAAGTAATTTTCCGGAAACCACAGGGCTGGAGAGTGGAAGAGGCTCTGGCTCTCTTGCTCTCTTGGGAATTGTCTTATGCTCCAGGGGCAGTTGTGGGCCCCTTTCTTCCCCTCCCACCTTCACAACCAAATACAATGCTGGGGACTGAGAGAGGAAGATAAAAATATCAGTGATAATACTGTCAGTTGGAAAATGTGTGCACAATTCATGCTCATAATTCCTTGGTCCCCGGGCCAAATCTGGACCTTTAGTTACTTCCCAGGTGAAAGTCTTGTGTGTGGCGTGCAGACACTGACCCCAGATTGCTCCTTGCAGTAGTCCTGGTGGAAAGGTTAAAAAAAGAGAGTGAATCCTCTCTGCTGTTAATACATTAGGTTCGTCCACCAAGCAATCTTGCCAATGGATTTCTGCAACCAGTCAAGTAACTCTTCTTCTACAGAAGGTGGGGCAGAAGCCAGAAGGGTTACTTTGTAGCAGCTCTTCAAAGAAAAAGCTTAAAATGAGGAAAAAGGAGTTTCCTCTTCCCTTGTCCCTTCTGAAAAACCCCTGGCGAATGGGACTTTCAGCAGATGGAACACAGCAACGCTTCTTTGGAACCCTGGGGAAGCTCACAGCACCGTTTATTTCAGAGTGTTTAAAAAACAGGAGCGTGAGATCAAATCCTGGCTCCACTCATTACTAGCCGTTAGACCTGAGATCATTCTTTCTACCTCTTTGAACTTCATTTTCCACCTATAAGATGTGAAAGATCACAGTCCTGCAGAGGTTGCTTTGAGGCTTTAAGGAGATAGTGAATGTAAAGGACATGGCATGTGAAGTCCTGAATAAACACTAAGGGAAAGACACATTCTGATTTCATAGATGTCATGTGAAAAAAAGGAAAAGCACTTCACACTTGTTAAAACGAGGTTGTTTCTATCCCTGGACTCTGTCCTGCAGAACGGGGCAGTGTTGTTATAATGAATCTCAGGTGAAAGTTTGGCATTGGCTACTAGCAGATTCAGCTGCCGGTCAGTGTTGAGTACCAGCTGATCAAGGCAAAAGGCCAGAGACCCTTGGAGGTTTCCCACTTGTGAGGAACAACAGAATGCAGATGTCAGCCTTGTTTGCAAGGCTGTGAGCCATGGCGGGCAATGTGGGCAGAGAGAGCCGCTACAGGGGACTTAGGTTTTAAACTTAGAAGTCACATTGTGGTTCCTGGTACAATGATAGAAATAGAAGGATATTTAGGTATCTTTGGTCTTAATCTCTCATTGAACAAATTAGAAAAGTGAGGATTAGAGAGGGTAGGTGATCTACCCACATGACACAGAGCCGGTGATGGAGCTGGTGTTAGAGTGCCCAGTCACTCCATGTCAGATCAATGAATTTTCTCTCCAACCATCCTGCCTGCCTCTAAAAGGTTTACAATCTGAACCCAGAAATAGCTTTTATCCCAGGAGCTCAAGGTTTCCACTGGAAAATGTAGCTTTTAGAGGACAGGAACTAACAAGCACTTGAACCTGCTAAGATGATACCACGAGTCTTATGTGGGCCAAAGTTTCACTTCTACAGTCGATGCAGAGATAGGGTACCACTGTCATCTGTTCATTTAAGAGGAAGCGGAAACTCAGGAAGGTACTGGCTTGCCCAGGGTCACACAAGGTTTCAAGGAAGCAGGATGCCTTTAGGCCAAGTCTTGTATTTTTTAATTTTTTTGAGACAGAGTCTCACTCTGTTGCCCCGGCTAGAGTGCCCCTGGCGTAGCCCTAGCCACAGAAACCTCAAACTCCTGGGCTCAGCGATCCTCCTGCCTCAGCCTCCCGAGTAGCTGGGACTACAGGCATGCGCCACCATGCCCGGCTAATTTTTTCTATATAATTTTTTTTAGGATTCTACAGAAATCCATTTATCTGGCCAGATGGTGGCTTACACCTGTAATCCTAGCACTCTGGGAGGTGAGGCAGGAGGATCGCTCAATATCAGGAGTTTGAGATGAGCCTGAGCGAGAGCAAGACCCTGTCTCTACTAAAAATAGAAAGAAAGAATAGAAAGAAAAAATAGCGTTAGCTGCACAACTAAAAATATATAGAAAAATTAGCCGGGCATGGTGGCGCATGCCTGTAGTCCCAGCTACTGGGGAGGCTGAGGCAGGAGGATCGCTGGAGCCCAGGAGTTGGAGGTTGCTGTGAGCTAGGCTGATGACGGCATTCACTCTAGCCTGGGCAACAGAGTGAGACTCACTCTCAAAAAAAAAGGCAATCCATTTATGTATCTGAGGGCCAGGCTTATTTTCCCAAGGACATGGTTTCAAGGACAGTGTTTTCTTCACTAGAAAAAGGATTGCATGTAAATTTTAATAGTGGCTTCCAAGCAGGCAACAGTATTCTTTTGAAACACAGATTTTTGTTAGATAAAAATCAAAATGTGCTCCTCAGATTTGTGCTAATTCTAAATAGATAATAAAAATCCCTCATTTTAGTCCTTGATATTCTGTTTAAATAATACTAAAATAGATTTCATTGTAACATTTATGAGTGCTTCATGCAGATTTTGTTAAAGTTATGTAAAGTAGAAATAAAATGGAATATTCAATGATATCAGCCTTTCATTCTGTTTCTAAAATTTTCCAAGGTTTAGTTTTTATAACATTTTTTTTCTATTCTAAAAATATATGCTCATTGTCAAACATTTGGGAAATTTCAATAAAAATTCAAAGAAAATAAAATTTGCCCATATTTCTACCAGCCAGAGATAATTACCATGAATATTTTGGTGTGTTTTATAGACTTTATTTTTTAGAGCAGTTTTAGGTTTACAGAAAAACCGAACGGAAAGTACACAGTGTTCTGATCCACTCCCTCACGCCCCCTCCCTCCACACAGTTTTTCATATTATTTACATCTTTTATTAGTGTGGTACATTTGTCACAACTAATGAGCCAATATTGACACACCGTGATAAACTGAAGTCCATAACTTAGGAGGTTCACACTGTGTTATATGGTCTAGGGATTTTGACAAATGCATAATGATAGGTACCCAACATTATGGTATCATACAGGGTAGTTTTTCAATATCTAAAAAGCAAATATAAAATTAATTTTGACTTTTCATTGCGTAATATAATTTTATACATTCTTTAGTTTCAAAATAGTGGGCTTTGTTCTTCTTTGGTTGTAGCACATGCTTATAATAGTATGGTGGCATAGAATAACCACCGAAGAAGAATCATCTAAAAAACTACACTTTCTAAAGGGGTGCATCTGTGTTCATAGTTCCATTAGGTGCTTGTCGGGAAACATCGTGGAACACGCGGGCGCAGACCCCAGCGCAGAAGGGTTTGCTTGCCCTCCGTGGGTTTCGTGTGAATCAGCGGTTACACCTGGAGCACAGCAGCAAGGTGACAGTCCTTGCAGTGGGGTCGCTGAAATCAAGTCCGCAGAAAACTTGCCCTAGGCCCTGGGGAAACCAGCAGGTTTGAAAATCCTCACCTCGCGTTTTCCTTGGCTGGAAGCGCAGCCCCAGGGCCTTCTCCCCGAGTGAACTCCTAGCCCGGGGGTGGGGGGGAGTGCGCAGTTGGGGGCGGTTGCCCAGGCAACGCGGCGGCTCCTCCCGCTCCGGGAGAGGCTGGGGGAAGAACCCGGTGCGCCCGGGGTGTCGCGGGGACCCAGGCCGAGGTCGGTGGTGCGGGGGCGCGGCTTGGGTGGCTGGCGGGAGCTGGGCTGGGGTGGTGGTGTGGCTGAGGGGAGTAGGAACCCCACTGGGGTTGTGGGAGCGGGCCAGGGGCGAGGCGGACGGGGGTAACCTGGTGGGCGGTGGGAGTGGGGGTGGGGAGCGGCTGCAGAGTTGGTGGGGGAGAGCTGGGCCGGGGGCGTGGTCTTGGTGGGTGGAGCCGCCAGGGGCGTGGCCTGACCGGGGGGGGGGCGGCACGGGGCGTGGCCTTGCTGGGGGGCCGGCACGGGGCGTGGCCTTGCTGGGGGGGCCGGCACGGGGCGTGGCCTGGGGTATAAGTGGCGGCGCCGGGCCGGGGGCGTGGCCTGGCGGGCCCGCGGCGGCGTGGGCGGGGAGCCTGTTCCCCGCTTTCTCCGGCGGCGGCCCGGGCTGCACCCAGCTCCGACCCGAGCCCGCGGAGCCCAGCTCCTCTGGGAGCGCGGCGCGCTAGGGGCGCAGCCGGCTCTGGGGCGCAGGGACGCCCTGGACCCCTGACCTGGGAGGCTCCGCCGAGGGGAGCCGCGCGAGGTGAGGCTGCGCCGGGGGCGCGGGGTGCGGGCTGTGCCATAGACACCGGGGAGGAACTGAGCCCTGATCGCCGGCTCCGTGGCTGTAGGACGTCCCCCGGGTTCTTGGAACGCGCGGGGCCGCTCACCTGTTGGGTCTCCGTGTGCGCTCCCTGCCCGGCCGAGTTGCTGGCGCCTCCCGCCCGCCCGCAGCCTTACCTCGGGGGAGGCGTGCGTGCGGTGTGCTTTCGGAGCCCGCTTCCAGCCGGTCGTCCGGGGAGATTACCCTGAAACTTTACCCGCGCTCCCGACTGGCCGGGCCTGGCCCGTGCGGTTGCCCGGGGAGGCGAACAAAGGTCGGGGAGCCTGGGGGCAGCCGGAGCCTCCCCCAGTCACGCTCGGCTCCGTCCCGCCGCGTGACGCCGCATCCAGAGGACCCAGGCGGGTGCAGTTGGAGAACTTGGCTTAGAAAACAAGTTTCTCACCAGGTGCTAGGTGCGTCTCACTCCAGCAGAAAGGCGCTGGGACCCGGCGTCTCCCGACTGCAGGGAGTGAGTTGGCTGAGCTGGCTCGGTCCCATTCCTGTTCGGGAGGTGGGGAAATCTGTACACCAGCCCCGGGAAGAGAGAAGCCCGCGGTGCTGCTGGTGTCAGAGGGAGCTCAGGTGGCCTGTGCTGGCGGGCCACCCGTCTGACTGTGCAGAGTTACGGAGCTTGAGCAAATTGTCCCTCCCTCCATGTGCAAAAAACCAAACCAGAGCAAGCAAACAAAATCTTCTTGGTCAGTTGCTTCCCAGCATTGGATGATGATGTTGATAAATAGAATAATAATTTGAATTTATTCAGTGCTCATTACCAAGGCTCCCTCTTATATTATCCACCTTCCACAAGGTTTTCTGGGCACCGCACCTCATTTTCTCTTGCCTAGTGTTTTCCTCTCTATTAACTCCTCCAGATCTCCCGGTTCTTTGCACTCTTTTATTCCACGTGCTAACAGCAGAAATTTCACTCCATTTCCACCCCACCCCCAACACCTTTCCCAGCAAATTCTCCTTTTAGGTTTAATCCCTTCCTCCCAGTCTTCCAAACTTCCTCACTGCATTGTTCTCAGGTGCCTGTTAATTATGCACCCCTCCATGTGCTGCAGGCCCTTGTCCCCCACCTCCCTCATTCTTTAGAGTTTTATGTGGCTGTTTCCTATCATCCAGTATTCTAATTTTCATCTACCTCCTTTAGCCCTAGACTTGCCGTCTGTCTACCTCCCCCGCCAGGTCTGTGCCATCCTTCTTTATTTGTGCTCCTGTGCATGTGCAGGCTTCTTCCTTGTTCTCCGAGTTTTTCCCACAGGGTGCTTTCTCCCCTTGTCCCTACTTCTCCCTAACAGGTGCTTTCCCCAGCCACAGCCTGTGGCCGCCTGCACAGCACACCTGGTCTCAGGTCCTTGGGTGGTTTTCAATACTCCATCAGCATCCCTGGGTTCCTTGTCCTGTTTCCAAGCAGCCCTCCATGGCTTTGCAGACATCACCCACCGTACCCCCCCAGAAGGTCTGGGAGCGTGGGGTGGAGAGGGGGTGTGGGGTGTGGGGTGGAGAGGCAGGGCGTGGCTGCACTTCTGCAGGAGTGCTCTGGATTTCCAGACCTTTGCATCTGGGGCTGCTTCTGCTTGTTTGTTTTCTTACCGAGGTAGTATGGAAGTAGCACCTTATACATAGTTCTTAAAAATTGTTGACGTTGATAGTAGGTAGCGTTTGTCAAACTGAGTGTGTGCTGGGCGCTGTTCCCAGGGCTTCACTTGCAGCAGCAGTCATTTAAAATCCTCCTCACATCCCTGTGATGTCAGGTCTAGTGCTCTCCCCATTTTACAGATGAGAAAAGGGAGGCTCAGAGAAGGTAATCACAGGCGGGTTTCTCACGGCCATGTCTTGATGGAGGCCCTCTTCTCACCAGGTGGTGGAGTTTCCTTGCCATGTGACCTCTAGAACTCAGATGTGCCTGGAGTTCAGCTTTGGAATTGAGGTCATTATTTGACATGTTTTATTTAGTCTGCAATGGACACCAGTCGAGGGCACACACTCTATACCTGTAGGGCAGCGCACGGGGAAAACCTAATGCCTTATGCACCTCGGAAAGCCCGGACAGTGCCCAGGGTGTCAGCTCTGCCTCGTGCTCAGCCTGCTGACCCTCAGCAACAGGAATCCCTGAAGAAAGAGGCACAAAGAAGACCATTGCCAGCTGTCACCTCATGTACATGGACAGTTCCGTTTCACTTTAGCTGGACAGAACTTTTTGGTCCCTGACAGCCATGTGACTTTGCGAGGCTTGTTCATATCCATTTCATTATGTAATTTTAAGGCCTTGCTCAAACATTTCTTTGTTAGTCTTCACTTTCCTAGGAGTTGGAGGCAGTCGTTTCTATTTTACAGCAAAAAAGTAGAAGTAGAATATACACTTTGATAGCTGGAAGGGACCTTACATCCCACAGATGAGGAAACCAGGGCCCAGAGAAATAAAATCATGTATCCAAGGGAAAGAAAGCATCAGCACGGTAGTGCTGGCCCTGGGACCCCGTTCTTTGGACCTCTGGTCCTGGGCTTAATGCCTGGCCTCATAGTTTGGTGGGTTGATCTCTCTGCTTGCTGCTGAAAGCAGCCAAGCTTCTTCCTGTTCCCCTGTGCTAAGAGGCATTTGAAGGATTCACTTAGAATGGAGCTCATCAGTGCTTTTCTTTTTTCCTTTTTGTTTGAAAGCTAAGCGTATTAAAAATGTTTGCTTATGAGGCATGTAATGACATAAATGGCATCATAACGTCGCAGAAGCATAAATTCAAATGTTTTAGAAAGAACTGTTATTGTTTCCAAAACAGCAGGAAGGAACACCAAAGGTACATGGCTTTCTAGGGGGAAACCATATAATATATGGCAGTTTGAAAATCAGTAACTGGAATGTTTAATTGTATTTTGCATTTGCAGAGAGGAATGTGGGAGTACAAAGTGCTTATGTGATTTTCTTCATCTCTGCGTAGCAAGTAAAACAGCGGTGGAGGGGAGTGTGGAATAGTTGCTGTTTCTGTGTTGGCTCCCCTGTGCCCAGGCGGTTGCCTGGACTCCCACTGGGTCCTCCTGGCGCTGCCTCTGCCCCCTTCCCAGTTAATCCCTTTCCTGGCCCCTCAGGGAGCCTGGAGCGTATTATTCACTCATGATGCTCAGCTTTTTTCCATGTCCGCCCATCTTGAGAAAATTAAGCCCTGGTGCCCTAACATATGTGTTGTATGCAATGCCTTCACTTCTCTCCTACCCTTCTACAAGGAGATGGGTGATCCTGTCCCATCCTCAGGAGAAGGGAGGAAGCGTTTGCATAAGTCATCCTCTGTGTTCTGTGATGCAGATGAGGATTGTTGGAACTGAATAGCAAACTAAGTTTCTCTGTTCCCTAAAGGAAAGGGAGGTTCAGGGAGGCTGTTGTGCCTAAGCCCCATGGTAAGTGGCAAGACTGAGATTCAAACCCAGGGCTGCTGGGCTTGGCGATCCATGTGCATCCTTTTACGGATCTATCTTCTCCATAGGCATCACAGGTCCTTTCACAAAGCAGGGGGTTCCTGCTTGCTGAGCTGAAGGTAAAGCTGGACAGGAGGGGCCAGGAGGGACCAGGGACCAGGGGACGAGAGCCTGAGAGCTCAGAGGAGTTCCAGGTCCAGTCCTGGCTCTCCCAGGGGTGTGGCTGATGCTCGCTGTGCCCACAGGAGCCCCGGGGAGCTGTGGCAACTCCGCCCAGTGCGAAGGGAATCGTGTGTGTTTTCTTCTGCATAGATGTGTGGTTGTGGCAATTTGCTGTGGTCAGGATGTCAACTTTTGTGGACACAGGTAATGACCCATGTTGTTCCATTGTGTTCTAATGTCCTGGACATAGGACCGTTACCTATAACCAGGACCTTAAAGGACCTGCTTCCCTGGTCAGCAGTCACCTCTGCTCATTTCCTTAGAGCAGGGCCACTCTGGCTCTGTGGGACACATGCGAGCTCGTGCACTGTAATTTTAGGGACCATGCGCCTTCCTCAAAATATCTTCCAGGCTGGCCGCTGTGTGTGGACTGAGAACCTCACCAGCATCCTCACCCTCTGGATCCAGCCTCAGGATTGGGGAACCTTGCATGTCTAATCCGGGAGAGGGGAAGGGCCGGCCTGTCCCCGCTGCCCCCATGAACACCACGGCAGGGTTTGTTTCTGGAGACTGGCAAGCTGTCCCTGGAGAAAAGTAGAACACAGGTCTGAACTGGCCAGACTGGAGAGTTCCGGTGGAGGGAGGCAACCTGAAGGATCTCAAGCCCCCAGGTCCCTTCCTCAGTCCCTGGCCACCTGGCCACCCTGCCCTCCTCCCGTCTCGGCCCCTCCCAGAGGCCCTGCTTTCACTGCAGGGAAGGGGCAGTGCTTGCTCACTGCCTGGGACAGGTGCAAGGGGAGGGCGAGGCCGGGCTTTTATTCCTGCAGCAGCAGAGGCAGGAGGCCGGCCACGAGGTGCGTTCCTGGCGTTGCAGATCAGAACTTTGATCACAGCCTTTCAGAGAAAATAGGAGCAGTGAGCAGTCTGTTGTAATTCATTGTTAAAATTACAATTCAGGCTCGTTACGCAAGTTTCTGAGGTCAGGCCCCAGTACAGCGTCCCCATGGATGATAGAGACAGGCAGATACGTGTGTCCTGAGTCCTAAGCAACTTACACACGTAGTTTTAAACACATCTGATTTGTATGTTGGGACTCTACGGCTGAAGGAAAAACGGCCCGTGCTTCAGAAACGTGCTCTGTTTCCACCTTTCCCAAGGGGTGGAGTGCTCTTACGTGATGTGTGAGCTGATAGCTAATTCATCATGAGTCACCTCTTTGGGGATATCTGTGGACCCGTAGATACTGCCACCGCAAGTGTGAGTGGCCATACCTTTGTGCTGGTTTGGAGGGACAGATGCATGCCTGACACTTACCGTGCATCTTTTGTGTGCGAGATGCTGAGGATGGAATTGTTCATCAGAAACAG